TCATCATTATTCATCACGTTATCGCAATCTTCCACTAATTTCCGGTGCTTCGACAAAAAAATGTTCCGAGCAAAAATTAATTAGTCCTCTACAAACACCAATACAAAACATATTAAAACAACATTTCTTTATCAAACAGAAAATTGAAGTCACCCTGACTTTTCAATCAATCAGCAATAATTAATGCATTCCTAAATCAGACATTTTCCCGACCGTGCGTCAATGATAAAGCGCTTAGCGATGACGAGCGAAACTTCCCAACCGATTCGCACGCGATAATTTCCTCCAACAAGGAAGCGATTCACAAATAGCTTCCGAGTATTCCACGCAATATTTCCAACCAGACACATCGGCTCGGCGACGTTATGCATTATCGATAAGCATTATCGTACAAAGAGTCCCCTCTTCCCGATGCTGGATCATCGAGCGATCTCGATAACGATCGAGGTCGCGACGCGCGCACGCATCGATGCCATTTCCGACGAACCCATTGCCAACGATAGATCCGCGTCCGGCGTGCTCAAACGGTTCCCAGAAGCACAATTCCAGCTGCTCTATTAATCGCGAAATTAAACGAACCCGCGATCCATCGTTTTCCCGGCCGGTGGCGATCGTCTCGCGGCCGATCGAAAGTAGCAGCACGCTGCGCGCGCACCACAAGCGATCACGTGAATCGTTCATTCAGCCGGCGCACGGTTAACGGGCCGGGAAAGTGAAACACCGTGGCCGTTCGTAATTAACGCGAAGCTTTTAGCATAATCTGACAGTTTTATAACGGATAATCACGGTGGGAAGGTTTTCCGGCACAATGCGGCGTCGCGTTGTTTCTCGGGAGCCTGGCACAAATATTTCGAGCGAATTATGGGGCGGTCGGTTAATTTATAACCGAAAAGTCAGCTGAAAAGCCGGGAGATTATCGGCGAAGTTTAGCGGATTCGAGCGGCGGCGGCGGCGGCGGCGGCGGCGGCAAGCTCCGCGCGCGTTCGATATACGGTTTCACGGTCAGCCGCTCCATTAAGAGCTTAATTTCCGAGCCGACGATGCGATCTGCGGCATTAGTAAATGGGCGGAATGAAAAATTAGATTCGCGAGTTGTATTTCAATACGAGCGGCCCGCCGTGCCCGGCGTTCCCCGTTAATTATGGACAACTGGACGAACTAGCTTGGCTCGATTAATTCTTATCCTTGGACGGTGCACGGTTAAATTTTCATTTTTCGCCGGATACGCATGTCACATTTATTTGTATTTTTATGTATCGCACGCTTGCATGTAAATCGCGATTCCTGTTCTCGTGTGATCGCGTTCGATCTAGCGATCGAGCATTCTCATTCACTCTCTCGATCGCTCTCTCTCTCTCTCCCGTTCTCTCCCTCTCGCACTCTCTCTCTCTCTCTCTCTCTCTCGATCGCTCTCTCGCGCTCTCTCTCCCACTCTCTATCCGCTCTTTCTCTCGCTCTCTCTCGCTCTCTCGCGCTCTCTCTCCCACTCTCTATCCGCTCTTTCTCTCGCTCTCTCTCGCTCTCTCGCTCTCTCTCTCTCTCTCTCTCTCTCAGTCGCTCTCTACCTCTCGCTCTTTCTCTCAATCACTCTCTCCCTCTCGCTCTCTCGCGGTCTCTCTCACTCTCTCTCGATCGCCCTCTCTCTCGCACACTCTCTCCCACTCTCTCGATCGCTCCCTCTCTCTCGCTTTCTCTCTCGCTCTCTCTCTCAATCGCTCTCTCCTTCTCACTCTCTCTCTCGCTCTCTCTCTCGCGCTCTTTCTCTTGCTCTCTCTCTCTCCTTGATATAACCTTGACATAACCTTGATCCGAGCATAAACGATTGCGAGTTGATAGACGAGAGTTCTCGGAGTCGTGCGAATTAATCATTTCTTTCAAGATCGAATCAAATTCTATTCTTCTTTTTCTTCAATATTTTTATTTTTTATTTTTTCTAATGAAATTATTGAGATCGAAAAAGGGGCTAATGAAATACGTTCAATTATGATCTTCTTGTGTTCTGTACGTTCTATATAATTTTTCTATAATTGTTGTATAATTTTTAATATTTTCTGTTTGTTTTTCTAATTTCACAAATCAAGATAACAATTTATATTTATACGTGATTTTAAATAGAGCTAAAAACAGCGACATCGATCTTAAATAATTGATAATAATAATATAATAATAACAGAGGAATAATAACGGATATATTATATAATAATATTATGTAATAATATAGTATATAATAATTATTATAATATTACAGTATTAATAATTTTTAAAATGTCAAACTACTTGAGACGGAGGAATAATAACGGATATATTATATAATAATATTATATAATAATAACTCTCGTTTATCAACTTTTCTATCGGAACCCGTGACAAAAATTTAATTTATTTAAACATAGACCGTAGAAGTCAAAGTTACACGGTAATGTCTCTCTAATTGACGCTAAGATTGACCACAAAAATAGACAATTTCGAGGAGATACGATTATTAGAGCCTTGTGGCTCGTTTTTTTATGGTTATCGATAATATAACAATTATAAAAACCAGATGCAAAGTTTAAATAATCGTGCCTCCTCTTCCCAAATTGTCCACTTTCTCGCGCGATCTGTCGCGCGATTTTTGCATCGAGCCGAAGAACGCGCGCGCAACAGCGTCGCGCATTATAAATTCCCAATTATCGTTCTCCCATTCGCGCGTGCAATTAGCGCGCGCGCGCGTACGATTCCGACGGACGCGCGGTATCCGCGAAAAAAGAAAACGCGACTCATTTTCCGCGCGGGCTCGAACCGTCCGTCGCCTTTCTATTTCGCCACGGATTTGGAATTACGCCTCCGGCTCTCCGTGCGTCACTAACGGCCGAATTCCTGCAGGCTCGGTTTCCCGATCGGCCGGCACCGTTTTCAATCCAAGCGGAACGCGTCGCCGGAACGCGCGGCTCCGTTATCCCGAAATTTTATCTGCCAGCGAAACGCGCGCGCGGGCGGCGCTGAGGTCCCAGATCAATATATCCAGAGCGGACTTCTCGAGAGAGCCCAGAGCGAACACTTGCCGGGCTGCCGCGTTCGCCGCGGCGATAACGACATGATGGTTCGATATCGTGCGAATATCGTCGAATTTCATTCTTTCGCTCCGCGTTTCTTTCTCCTTCGATTTATCACTGTAACGGCCGCCATTAATCGCCAGCCGGCACAGTTAGCCGGAAAGCGTCGATTTTAGGTAATCGAGCGACCGCGCAAGACAGCTTTGAAGGTGACCTTGACGGAATAATTACTGCGGCTTTTCTTTTTATTAGGCGGTCGCGATCGCGTTTTTTTTCGGGCCGACGATTTTTATCGAAGGTCGCGCGTATATTTGCCACGGTCACGATGCCGAAATTATGCCAAATGCTCGACTGTAGAAAATAACCCTTAGCACTCCGAACCATTCTGGACGTTGGCTACCAGCTACTCGAGAAATTTGCAAAAAAATCAATATTTTATTTTTTATAATTTTGTTTTGTTGTTGTAATCGCTATCTATGCGAACTCTTCCTCTCGTCGCCTTGTTGCTTGGACGATATCACTGTCGCTGCTATCGAAACGATAGACTAACTGTAGAAGAAAACCTTCTACAGTTAGTCTTTCTAACGTATCTGTATAAACGTCTATCTAGAGCTCATCTTCGCTACTACTTGTGTCATGAGACTCGTTCGTGTTCGAACATTTTGCCATTGTTCTAATGAAAAATATGAATAAATACATAGGTTGAAAATTTCTAATTGTTATTACTAACTCGCAAGATGATATTTACCAAAAAAACTTTTACCAAACAATTTATTTACCAAGAGAAGAATCACTTTTCCGATTTTCTCACTCGTTGGATCTATCTATACCGCTCGACGCTTCGAACCAGACCGAGTTCAGCTTTGAAAATCTTTTCCTCCAGATTTTATGATTATAAATCTCACTATACAGTGCGTGCTATGTTCGCATACCGATCTTTCTTCTACGAACTTACCTTATCGCTCTTTTCAAATGACGCCTTCGAAGTGCTCGGACCGTCGTGAGCAGGCCTCTCACGTTCTCGCCAAAACCCGCCGACATTTCTTGTATATATCCTAGTAATTTTACTATATTTTGATTTGATTTCTTGTGCCATTTCAAGAGAATACTTCAGGGAAACATGCATGTCTGAAAAAGTTGCGCTGAAATAACTCAGTTCCCCGTAATCACTAATAAACTTTAATGTCCCACGAGAGGGGACATCCGAGTGATATGCTAGAATTACGATGTTCCACGAGAGGGGACAGAGGAGTGCAAAGGGTTAACTTCAGAAATTCTGAATTTGTATTGTGCCGTCGCATCGCTCGCTGCTGCTCACCCGCTACCTGAGCGTGGCGGTTAGCAAAGTCAAGCATCTGCCTTCCGAGTCCTCTAGCGGGTCCCGGACGAAACGCTTACCCCCCTCTCTTTTTCTCCCAAGTAGGCATTTATTATAACAGCCAAACGTTCCGTATCGCGTGCATTTTCACGAACTACAACGTTTCTTTCTACGACGGATTTGTTTATTGCTGTCCCTTGTATTGTCATTGATTCAGAATGTCGTAAATAAATGTGCGATATCTGCGAAAGCTTGATATAGTGTGCTTATTTCTGTGATATTAACAGTTTAGATTATTAGATGGCATCATAACCGTCAAAGTATAAATGTTCATTTTTTTTCCTTTTCTTTTTTTGGGGGAAGGGGGGGGGGCAGCGCGTGCGTCGCTGAAATGTTCAGATTCGCGGGTCGACGAAGTGCAAAATAAAATAAATCCGCCAAAAAAAAAGAGGAAAACGAAACGGCTGATTTTTATCGCGAGAAGCTGCCGCGTCGTCCTCGCCTAGGCCTCGAGGTGGCCGAGGAAACGCGAGGGAATCGCTGGTACGCCCTCGGCGGATCCGCCAGCCGGGTTTCTTTTTATACGATCGTTAACGTCAGCGGAAGGACGAATCGATATATCCTGACCGACGACGAACGTGTTGCAGACACGAAGCCAGAGACATCGTGAGACACGCGGTGGGGGCCGGCGAGCAGGATGCGGTGCTGTTCACGGGTCAAGGCACGGCGGCTGCCCTTCGCGCGCTCCTACGACACCTTGATCTCACGAAATCCACGGTGGTGTTCGTCGGACCGTTTGAGCATCACGCGAATCTGCGGCCTTGGCGGGAGCATGGTGTCAGGGTAAGATAAAAAAGATGTATTTTTGTGTGTATGTGTGTCTCTCTCACTCTCGATTGCTCTCTCATCCTCGATCGCTCTCTCTCTCCCTCTCTCTCTCTCTGACTTTCTCACTCTCTCTCTCGATCGCTTTCTCTCTCTGACTCTCTCACTCTCTCTCTCTCGATCGCTTTCTCTTTCGATCTCTCTCTCTCTCTCTCTCTCTTGATCGCTCTCTCTCTCTCTCTCTGACTCTCTCACTCTCTCTCCCGATCGCGCTCTCTCTCTCTCGCTCTCTCTCGCTTTCTCTCTCTCTCCCGATCGCTCTCTCTCATTCTCTCTCTCACACTATCTCTCCCTATCGCTCTTTCTCTCTCTCCCGATCGCTCTCTCTCTCTCGCTCTCTCTCGCTTTCTCTCTCTCTCCCGATCGCTCTCTCTCATTCTCTCTCTCACACTATCTCTCCCTATCGCTCTTTCTCTCTCTCCCGATCGCTCTCTCTCTCTCGCTCTCTCTCGCTTTCTCTCTCTCTCCCGATCGCTCTCTCTCATTCTCTCTCTCACACTATCTCTCCCTATCGCTCTTTCTCTCTCTCCCGATCGCTCTCTCTCTCTCGCTCTCTCTCGCTTTCTCTCTCTCTCCCGATCGCTCTCTCTCATTCTCTCTCTCACACTATCTCTCCCTATCGCTCTTTCTCTCTCTCCCGATCGCTCTCTCTCTCTCTCTCGATCGCCCTCTCTCACGCTCTCTCTCTCTCGATCGCTGTCTCCCTCTCCCGCTCTCTCTCTCTTGATCGCTCTCTCGATCGCCCTCTATCTCGCTCTCTCTCGCGCCCTCTCTCGCTCTCTCACTCTCTCGATTGCTCTCTCTCTATCTCTCTCTTGCGATCGCTCTCTCTCGCTCTCTTTCTCCCGATCGCTCTCTCTCTCTCTCTCTCTCTCTCTCTCTCGATCGTACCTTCTCGCGCTCACTCTTTCTCTCTCTCTCTCTCTCTCGATCGTACCTTCTCGCGCTCACTCTCTTTCTCTCTCTCTCTCTCTCTCGATCTTACCTTCTCGCGCTCACTCTTGCTTTCTCTCTCGATTGTACCCTCTCTCTCTCTCTCTCTCTCTCTCTTTCTCTCGCTTTCGTGGGGAGAGGGGGGGGGGGCGTGGAGCGTGCGGATAATTCGCGGCCGAAGATTTTTCAACGGTGAGTCAAGAAGTATTCTCGATCTAAGAAGCTTGGGGACACTCCAAACGCGTTCGAACGTTGCGGAAGACACCGGAGCTGTTACCTGTAACGTTGTTGACGTTACCACGTGAGGTAGCTGAGAACGCCTCCAATAAACGTTATAATTAGATTGAGCATTTGATGCAATTTATGATAGAAGTGGATCGGTGAAATTGATGAGACTATGTAAATATTATTAGAATTCAAGGTCTTCTATTGTACAGTAATGTCTCTCTAATTGACGCTCAGATTGTCCACAAAAATGGACAATTTGGGAAGAGGAGATACGATTATTCGAGGCTTGCCGTTTGTTCTTATAGTTACGAATTGTCGACAATTATTAATATATAGTATAAATATATAATATACAGTAAATAAATGTGATATAGTAAAAAATATATATAGGAAAATGTATATAGTAAAAATATATAGTAAAATATATAGTAAATATATAGTATAATATAAATATAAATGTATAGTAAAATATAATCGTATCTCCTTTTCTCAAATTGTCCATTTTCGTGGATAATCTGAGCGTCAATTAGAAAGACATTACTGTGCTCTTGAGAAGAAACATCCGTATATTAACGTATCAACATTTTCCAATATTACTCGGTAATAAAATATCTTACACCGAAAGAACTACGTACATGATACCGACAACAATATAGAAATACAGTCCGAGACAAAAACATAGCACACATTAAAATTAGCGTAATTTTTATTTACTTAAAATCAAGATTTTGTTTCTAGACAATCTTGCGAAAATACCTACTTTAAACATGCACAAATGAAATAGAATCGCATTTAGCCGGTCTAAACAATTGTATCTATTTAAACAATTTGATAAAATTTTCAACATGCATAATATAAGTTAGCGAGATCTACGAAACGAATGTTTCAAATTTTCGTTATACACTCAGACAAGAAACTAAAAAAAAAACGAGAGTTTTCTATATTTTTCTTTTTCATTCCAAATAATATCAGAATTAAAAAAAAAACATTTCTGTCACTGTCTAGTATCCTAAATCCCTCTATCATCTAAAAAAAAATCCAAGTCATTTAATCCAGTTTTAAAAAAGTCACTTTAAAAAGGGTGTACGAACACTTTTGTGGGCGACTGTACATGCTGAAGCTTCGTCGAGAGTACATTTCTGATTCACCGAGTTCCGCTCGTCTCTTCCTCCTCTCCCTCGGAGCATAAATTTCCCGCGATCCGCGGGAAAGCGTGTGAACTGCTTTGGAATCGTGTGCTGTTTTCCCGACACTTCTTTGGAGTGCTGAGCTTCTGTTTTTCTTTTTTTTTTCGCGCAAAGTTCTCCCGACGCTTTGGCAATGCCACTTGCTTCCCACGCTAGGACCGTCGCGTCGCCGTTTCGCGTGCTTTCCTTTGTAAGCACTTGTTCCGGCGCGGAGTTGACACGCGGTTTTCCGCGGTTCTCCTGAAATTTATGCGTCCCGCGTGCACGCTCAACGACAGTTCAACACGTTTTAAATGGGCTTTCAGCGTCACTTAATAACCTTTTATGTAGATTTTGATATGTACTGTACAGTGTCTGATACTGTACGTATTCCGTCTGTATATTGTTAAGACTGTTGTAAATCGATGTGAAAACAAAAGAAATGTGAAACAATGCATAGGAAGATGATTATTTCATTCGAACGGAGAGCGAGTGAGCAACTAGAGCGAGCCACTACAGGATGTCCCAAAAATGTCTCGCAATCCGAATGTGGCGGGTTCCTCGGATCATTCGAAGCAACTTTTTCCTTTACAAAAATTTTCTCCGAGGCACCGTTAACGAGTTATTAACGAAAAACAGTGATCAATGAGAGGCGAGCTCGGCTGGCGCGAGGTGACCGAGCTAATGAGCGGAACTGGGCTTCGCGCGCTGGTTGGCTGGGACGCCTCGCGTCGGCCGTACTCGATTCTTATTGGTCACTGTTTTTCGTTAATAACTCGTTAACGGTGCCTCGGAGAACATTTTTGTAAAGGAAGAAGTTGCTTCAAATGATCCGAGGAATCCGCCATTTCCTGATTGCGAGACATTTTTGGGACACCCGGTATAGTGGCGCGTCGTGACTAAGAGGTTAACAGTCGATTAAGTGACTTTTAGTGATTTTTAGATCGCGACGTCTGAAACGTAATACAGTGCCATTAAAAATCATTCGCTAGATTTTTATAGAAAAGAACACGTTTGTATGCATTCTTTGGTATAAAAAAATGTGAATATTCTTTAAATAAAATAATGTGCCTGTCGATTATGTGAGCGAACAATGAGAAATAAATGGACAGTTTAGCGAACAAAAAACTCCTTTAGTTTCTGTATAAACAATATATGAATGATAAAGCGTGTGATTGTAACAGTGAAATTTGCATAGGTATAGTTAACAAAATGTGTTAAGAAAAACAAAAATATTAAAATACTAATATTTTTAATATTTCCATCTTTGTGGCTAATAATTATATACTTCA